GGAATACGATCAACTATCTCTCTAAATACTGATAACAAAATAGGTGAATCCGATTTTTATTTGAATGGAATGGCATAACTGTGTTTGGGAAATTTTGGTCTGGAGTCTGTACTGTCCAGCTTACTTTCATTCAATTTTTTTTCTTAGAACTCAAAGCTGCTTCCTCCTATTGTGTCATAAACAGGCGTTGGTTAGGTTCCACTGTCGGTTAATTTTCAATAACCTATTTGACTATGTCCCCAAAGTTGGAATACCTGCAAGTGTTTTGCATCAAAATGCAAATCTCTTCATAATTGGCACATTTTCCACTTCAGTCATTTTTTTTGTACAACAAACTCATCTTGATTTTATTCCAGCCTCGCGATTGCCTTACTACTTCGGCAATGTACAAGAACCTATCGAAGTCGAAGCATTGCCCTAAAAAAATCTCCCTGCCAACATATGATCCCATCGGTAAGTTTTAACCCCTTATACAGAAGCTTTTAAGTTTACTTATGTGTTGTTCAACCCCTGGTGCCCATGCTAATCTTGATCTCTGAACATCTGCAGTACTCACAAATTCGACACTGGAGATTGTCCCAGAAGCCAGCGACAACGGGTTGTACTTCTTTACATCCTAAGATACCGAGCATTGCTGGGCTATGAGGAAACAGATGCCTTCACGGTTCTGACTGCTTGCAAGACCGTAGCCACAGGTGCTGGGCACTGGAGATCCGGCTAAAACGGGTTTCTGGTTTGTCCATACTATTTGTAAAGGACAACATTCCACGTTTGAACAACATGGTTCGATTATGTTCTGATTTGTAAAACCGCTGGATATCAAACTCATGTTACTCATTGCATGTATGAATAATGGATGTTAAATGTACATATTAGTTCATTCTATTGCTGAAGGATGTGGCCTGTCTAAACGTTTCTAGTCATGAACGGTTCATGTCGCATGCAGTTTGTTCCATCCGCAGAGTTTAGACGTACTAGCAGTTGATTGATTGACACCGAGACATTCTTGAATGAAAAATTGAGTTCAGCTGCCAAATAGTGATGTCTCGTCATCGCATTCACTGCTATATATATGTTCCAATGTGAAGGAAAAAAATTTGGAGACTTTGCACCCAGGAACTGCAGCCAGTACAGAAACACAGATGCATATGTAGTACAAAATTCTTAGCTGGTGCTGGTGATGCGCATCTAGAATACGTTTAATCAGAAAAACCAAGAGCAGTTACAAACTGTGATGTATCACCGGGTCATACTTACGACTGCAGATTAGTTTGTACTACCCCGTGATCAACACTAAGATCTGTAATAATATCAAAAACGGCATTCAAACTTGTTTCAGGGCAATACTACAGCTATTTTCCATGTCCATGTAGCCGGAATTTCCATTGGCACCAACCTACTCGGATGAACCCCAGGAGACATTCTGGTCTAGGGTATCGTGCGAACTCATGCAGTTAACACATCCAAAATGCATGAATCTGCAAAAGAGAAAAAAGAAGTGACAAATGTGAGGGTAGCGTCATATGGAAGTAAAACAATGCTGGAACTACGTGCGATTTACGGAAGTTTACATAACGATAGATGGATATTATAAGATGAACACATGAAGTGTAATTTAAAACTTACAAAAGTCATCAAACTACAGGTTCTAAAGTTTACAGACTTTTGAACTTGGGCATTTTACAGAAGAAATGAATGTCATGGTACCCAACAAGTAGGACATAAAGGAAGCGATCACTTACCATCAGGATGCATGGTCTGAAGATTGCATATGCCATTTGGGAAAATGCATGTATAAACAGCTCCACTTCACCAGAGAAGCTAGTATGATTGCCACACATGTGCCACAAGGAGGAGGATCATCTAAAGCAAGCCCATTTCAGCCACACTCTAAGATAACAAGTAGAAAGGTGATCCGGTATGTCGGCCTGCATGAGTAAGATGACAGCCATGAGTACGAAATAAAAATTGATGAGTTCTCTGTTGAAGACATTGGTTGAAATAGTACAGAGGGAAGGCAAGAAGATAACATACAATGTCCCAAGGAGCAGAGAAGTCATCAGTTGACAGGTACCAGCTTCCACATTGTGATTCAATAGCCCTCTTCCCAGTGAAAGTTCTCAGTTCAAGCAGCTGATCAACATTATCCTCGTCGGAATCATATCTATGTCGTCTTCTCTTCTTATCTCTCTTTCTTTTTTTATGACTACTTCTAGTCAGATCCTTCTCATCAGTATCTGAAGTATGTGAAACTGAGTGCCCATCGTTCTGAACCAATGAATAATCATAAGCCTTGCGAAATTCTATGCTGTTACCAGTGAACAGAGATTCACAAGAAACAGCTGATTTGCATAATTTTGACAAACCACATAAAATTACCCAGGACTGGATGCCTATCCACTTGAGTGCGTCAGGAAACTTTGTACCCATGAAATCCTTTATGAGAGCAAAATGATTAGCATCAGTCAAGTCATTCATGGTCCTCACAAGCTCGTTCATCCTCCCTCGTTCTTCCTCGTGTTCTTCGTCATTCATGAGATGCCAAAGTTGTCTACCCTTGGCAATGACACAGTTCAATAGGATAAGTTCATCAAGAGATATCTGATCAATATGTGCCGACAAAAGAACCTCAAGCCAGCAGCATGGGAATGCTAACTTTGTGCACTGTGCATCCGGACTGATGAGCTTCCCTAATGTTTTTAAGAAACGAAGAAGCCTTTGTTCGTCTAGATGAATAAGAACATACTGAGACAGGGTGGAAAACTGCTCCTCCATCAGAAAATCTTCAACTACTTGCCACACATCTTTGAAATTCCCCTCATACATCAAATAGACAAATTGATCTACAAAATATTCTGTATCAATTTGCAGTATTTGACCATCTTTGACAGAATCAGCAAGCTCTTCTGAAGACCAGAAGTCTGGGACATATTCAAGGAAATTTTCCACTGTCTGGAGAACATCAAGATCACGAAAGTAGTGAGGCTTAGTAGCAACAACAGCAGGAGACTGACCATGCCTGCCTTTCCACTCAAGCTCCTCCCAGCAAACATCACGATTAACAAATGCAAACTGAGCAAGTGCCCGAGCACCCTTTTTGTGTGCTGACTCCCCAGTAGCAGCAAAGTGGCTAAACCATTGCAGTATCCGCTCAGGGTTTCCTGCAGGTCATAATATATAATGTAAGCAATGATAGATCACATGTAAGAAGTGGCATCAGAACTAAATTCTATTGTATTGCATGATGAAAGACAAAACAATATTGTACCTAAGCTCTAACGCCTAAACATGTTTTGCTTAATTTGATCAAGATTTTATTAAAGCCGTCCAGCATAAAAAGGTACTTACATAGATTTTGAGTAAAGGGTAGGCAGAACATAACATACTGTTTATGTTAGAAAATTACATTTCTACAAGAGCATATGTATATGTAGCAAGCAATTCCTGTTAATAACTCCAAGATGTTTCTTGATGAACCATAGAATACACCACATCCAGAAAAGTGATCACTACCCGAAGGCACGTAGAAACAGGAAGAGAGGCAGGTGTTACTGTAACAACGTAACGAAAACATAATTTCGTTTTTTCTGTTAGTTTATGGCAGTGCATTACTGTAATGCCATGATATGCTACTAATATGACATACACTCTAACTTGTTGAAGCAATGCCCACAAGCAAGGGGCATTAGTTACCATAACCATCAAGTACAGCACTAACCAAAAATTATTCAAGCAGATCTTACATTATGAATAAGCTTAAGCAGCTGAACAGATAGTTTGCTGAACCATAACGTGGACTGATGATATATCTTAACATAATATCTTTAAATATATTTAACTACAGAAAGTAAGTTCTGGAAACTAGATACATAAACTGGTGAATTGCAGCAAGCAAAAATAAAGTAGAACCTATGTGAGTAGAAGCAGATAATACAAAGAAAATCAAGTTCTTAGTGAACCTGCCTTCAAAAAATTTCTCCAGCATATGACACTTCTTCGCTAAAACGGAGCCAGCCTTCGCAGGCTTCTTGTCGAAAATCATCCGCAGCAGGCGTGCAGCGACATCCCGCCTCAAGTCCTTCATCTCCAGGAGATGGAGGAACAGGTCCCGCTGGTCACGCGGATCGAGCAGATGAATCGACGAGACGGTACTGCACAGCCACATCCGAGCCTCGTACCGGCCTCCGGACCTTACAACCGACTTGATCACCGACTCAGCCTTGTCCAGCAGAGACCTCCTCGCTCTCACAGCATCTGTATCGACACTGCCGTCGTCTGCCGGCACTTGCAGAAAGAGCTGAACCATTTTTTCCCCTGCTGAAGTTTTCTGGCAACCTGAAGTTCACGAGTAGACCGATGGTCAGCAACGGGCTTCAGTTCAGTTCAACCCCCAACATTATTAGGACAATATAAGCTCCGCCGACACCTTATGCTAGGCCCTACGGGGTCGAACCCAGATGGGCAAGGAGAGGAAATAGTGGGGCAACGGGTGTGTCCTGGTTTACCAGGGTGACACGCAGCAACCAAATCGGCAGCGAATAGATGGGGGGATAAAGCACAGCTGCGTCGAACCCTAGCCGCCACAACGGAGATCCTCAGAAACAATACGAGCTCATGGCTCCAAAATCCAGCCAGTGGAGCTAGGGTTCCTTACCTATGCCAACATGAGAGGGAATCAATTAGCGCCGCTCCGGTGCCTGTGCCGGTGCGGGTGCCGGCAGGGCATGCGCGCCGTGGCCCGTCGCCGTCGGCGCAGCAAATTGCGCGGGGGGGAAGAACAAATTGGATCGAACCAGGCAGCGGGGAGGGATACGAATCCGGGAGAGAGAGGGGGGGAGAAGAACACGCGAGACGACGACGCAGGGGCGGGGGCCAGGGATGTCAGGGCGGTCGGGGGTTGCTGTTCGTAATCATCATAACTTTTTTCCCGGAGAGAATTCCTTGTTTGGCTCTTTTAAAATAAGATTTATTTTTGACACTGCATCTACATTTCCTTCCCTGAATGGCATTTCCGTCAATTTCGTTACACTTTCGAACCAAGTTGCCCCTGACTGTTAACAACAACAAAAGAGAGGAGAGAGACCGACCGACCGACCGACCGAAAAGTTCTCTTCTCTCCTGTTTCATAGATCCGGCCGGCCGGCTAACTCATGTAGGCCCAAACCTCTTTTCTAACGAAACTGAAGTCATTCATAATGGATACCGCACGTAACTATCTAGCCTGAAATCCCGGGTTTGAATTCCAGCTCAACCCTTTTTTTCTCTCTCTTTTATCTTGATTTATTTAATTAGGCGATGGATAACAGATGGGCTGCATTGAGTGCAATTCGGCCCAGTAGCCAGCGTTGATCCTTTCATTTTTTTTGTTAGACTAGGAAACATGCTCGTGCGTTGCAACGGGAGTAAAAGCATAACACGCCATCCATCATGTGACACCAGAGACTCCGGGTCCAACAGCTTTATGCGTTGATGACAGGCGCTAGCTGGTCAAGCAAAGCGGGCTTCTGCCCAGCGGTGCCCATGAGAGTTTTGCGTCATTAAGGCTTTAATTGGTTGGCACGGCTACCAGTGTGGACATGTGGCTACACGATGAACCACATATATGTTGTAGATGGGCTCAACAGGATGACAACCCAATTCTCGCTTATCTCAACCCGCACGACCTCCTCTAGCACATGACTCGGTGAGGGCTACGAGGATGGGGATGCGGTAAAGGATGGCGACATGGCATTTGACGGCTGCTCTACCCCTTCCTGCCATCTATCTCTTTCACTCTCTCATCTTAGTTGCCCCCGTACATGTCATCCTCATTTTGCTCGTTGTTGTCGTCGAATCCGAGGCACAAAGTTGTAGTGAAGAGGTGGCTGGAGGCAGAGGAAGTGTGTGAGGCCGGCCTTGGTCTTAGGATTAGAGTTAAGGAGAGAGTCAGATGCATATATAAGATTAACTTAAGGTAATGAGGCATGTAATTAATGGACATTGTGTCATGTGAAGATGTATTGTACTAAGGGCAATCACATTTCATAAAAAACAACACAAATGGCACGCCGCTGCTTACCTTGCATTGCTTAGATAATGGGACATGTAATCAATGTACACTATGTTATATGAAGATGTATTGTACGAAGGGCAATCACACTTCATAAATAAAAAGTAATAAACAAATAGAGCGCCTTCGTTTATCTTGCAAACAGTCGTCGTCCGTCATGTCGTTGATGTGCCCTTGCAGCTATAAATAATTCACGCCGACTCAATGGTACAACTATACAGAGAGCCGCCGGAGCCGCCGAGAGAAAGAGAGAAGCCCAGAGGTGGTGCTAGCCTGGTTCACAAGTTTAGATCCTCACGATTGACACATGTTACGTGCAAAGCTAGCCCAAGAAAAGCCCACAAAAACTCTACGTGCGCGTACGCTCTACTCCTTTTTTTGGAAAAAAGATTGATTTCATAGCCAGCTGTGCACGTCTTGCCATATAGAAGTATAAATTGGACTTTTGTATTTTTTTAGTGTCTCTTAGGATTGGATCGGTTGCCCAATATGTCAAAATCAAACGTGTGGGCTGGATGGCCGGGCTTGCCCCTAACGACTTTACCTGGGCCAACATTGCTAGCAATTAGCAAAGGACAGCTTGACGAGATGCAGAGATCGTTGTTCTTTTCTTTTTAGGCAAAAAAAAGAGATTGATATTAGGGACGCTACCTTTTTTAGATAGGAGAGAAAATAGATCGCTAGGCCAGGAAGAGATCGATCGCTAGGATTCAAAAAAAATATTTTGATCGCTAGGTCTGATGTGATCAATTGAAAGAGATGGAACGGAAATCTTACCTTTTTGACAAGAAAAAATAAAAGAGATCTCAGCCATCAATCTTTATAGTTAAATAAAATCAACGGATATAAATGACATGACGTATGAAGAACTATGAAAGTTTCTGTCCTTTAATATTATGTATAGATTCAAATGCACCTACAAAATAGTTAATACCCCCCTCTCAATGAAAATACTTGATGAAGAAATGGATAAGAATGGATGTGTTTAGAACTAAAATACATATAGATACATTCATTTCTCCGACAAGTATTTCTGAATGAAGAGAGCATCTTCTAATCTATAATCCCATATTCATCATGCCATATTTGAAACTTACAAGAAAATAGCGAATCATGACCGTTCTGCCATTTTCAAAAAGGGGTGCCATGTTTGAAGTAGAGGACGTGAACCTATGTGGATCTTGAGCCATGTTTATCGGGCAAAGGATGTGTAATATTTTCTCTCCGTTACAATGCACGGACATACTCCCTCCGTTCCGAATTACTTGTCGCATGTATGGATGTATCTAGATGTATTTTAGTTCTAGATACATCCATTTTTGCAACGAGTAATTTGGAACGAAGGGAGTATTTGCTAGTGTATACACGTATATATAATATATGAAAATGCAAAGGCTACTATTTCACCACGTACAGGTCAAGACTAAGTTTTTTTTCGAACTTTTTTTTATATCTATTCCATCTAAAAACTTTCAATTGTTAAGGTAGTATAAAGAACATCAAAAGTAGTAGAAATCACATCTAGGTCCATAAACCAGCTAGCGACGATTACAAACACTGAAGCGAGTCAAAGACGCGTTGCCATCATCATCCTTTCCTCACCACAACCAAGTGATAGATCAGGACTAAGCTATATCCTCGAGATGATCATCGGATTCAAATGTGAGCCTGAGGATACTAATCGGCACAATCCAAATCACACACGTGGCAAGTATCCTCGCATAGAGTGGCCCATCCACCATGAAGAGCATAACCGTATATATGATTCCCACCGCGATCATGAAACACTGCAAAGAATAAATGTAAGTAGAAAATCATTACTACATCGGATCACACTTTCCCTTTCATCAGATTCAAGCGAAAAAAGTGATACTAGCAATTGTGTGTACAAAATGAGTGCGGCCTTTTGGTGCCCGGGCTCAGATGAATCCGGGCATAAACAATAAGGTCGCAAAAAATAAACAAGAAATTGAAAAAAAATCATTTTTTTGTGATGCAAGATGCTGAAATGTGTGATGTTCCTGCAAAATTTCATGAAGTATGAACATTCGAGGAGCTCGTGGCAAAAAAAAAAGATACGTGAGAAACATTTGAAAACAACACTGTTCATGCACGATTTTGTCTTTTTCCGTGTGCTCCTCGAATGTTCAAACTTCATAAATTTTTTACACGCACATGCGCATCTTGCTTGTCAAAAAATTACAATTTTTTTTATTGTTTTACTATTTTTAAGCACATTACTGTTTACCGGGCTCATCTGAGCCCAGGCACCGAACTGGATTATCGTACAAAATAGAATACTACGGAGCGCAAGTCAAGTAACTCATTATTATCTTTTGCACATAACAGGGACGTTCGTACACTTTTACAGAAGAGAAGAAACGCTGACAAGTTTATACACATTCCATTAACTTTCTTTGTAATGTCAAACATATAAATGTCTTTCTTACTACGAGTACTAAGTTGGAGAAATAAAGTTCATACTACCAGTACCAGTGTGGGTTCTAAAATTCGAGGGTGCATCTTATCTTACCCTCATCAACGGCTTGTGGCAGGGGGCAGGCTTAGACTGGGGACAGGGCTCGAGGAGCGGGACACCGATCGCCACCCAGGTTTCACCCTCCCGTCGCATCTGCAACGGCTCGGTGCGTGGGACACCGACCACCACCCTGGCTTCACGCGATCGTCGCATCTGCTGCCACGCAAGGTAGGTGGTGGCGGCGCTCATGGCTAATCTCCCGGCGCCGGCAGGTCTTGTTTGCTGGCGTACGTCGAGGTTTTTCTGGGATTAGCGTTTTCGAAAAGATCGATCGGGGTCAGAGAAGGCCAGTTAAAGCGTGATGAGTATATACTGAATACTGGTTAGTGGAGTATGAAGGAAAGGGTTATAATGGTTGAAGCGGTACGGAGTTGATCAGGTATCGGACACCAATCGTCCCGCATCCGAATCGACCCCCTGCACAATCTACGAAGGTTCCCTCTCCCGGTCTCCCCCTTGGTCTTTGTCTTGGCCCTCGTCCAGTGCATGATATTTGACGGGACAACGCTACACCTACGTAAATACTTTTACAGTTTTGCTAAAGCGCATCCAGATGTGCCATAAGTATTGCACATCTAAGTCCTATGTCATTAATCTTACGTCAAGATTCGTGTGGATATTTTTTTTTCTTTTTTCTTTTCTTCTTTGTGCTTGATTCACTCATTTAGATATGCAATAACTAGGGCATATCTAGGGCACTAGACATACTTTTACGTATCTTACGAAGAGGCTTAGACTGCGCTTGACATCGGGTATTCTAATACAAGGGTATTTCCATGCAAAAAAAATACAAGGGTATTTAATTTACAGCTGTAACTTATCGAGCTGCAAAGGATTTCCGGACGGAAATAAAACGGCCGACAGAGGTCTGTATTTTCTACAAGGGTATTTGAATGGAAAACGACAATCCAAACATGCCCTTAGATGAAAAACGTCCGATTGGAAAAGAAAAGGGAGGGGGGCCCATCCAGTGAAAATTAGGGGGGCTGATTTATTTGGGATGGAAGGTTTACGTAGCTATTCGTAAAGCAATACGTAGGTGTAGCATTACTGTATTTGACGTTAGAGTCTGTCCATGCAGCCTCCAAGCTGTGAGCTTCATCGTTCCAACCTGCTCGTCCACGCGCAGGTGCCTTTATTTGGCACATGCTAATTGATGTCATAATAACATTCTCCCTTAGTGACATAAAACGTCTTATATTTGTGTACAGAGGTAGTACCAAATGAACCTCGTAAAAAAGTTACCAAATGAAGAAAATGTCAATCGAAACCAAACCACCCATGTAGGGCTTTTTAGAAGAGAAAACGGCGCGTGGTATGAACATTGCCCACTTGTACCACGGTTCGTACCATACCCCACCGCCTTTCCCTTGTCGACTATTTCACTTTTGCTTGATCGAATCTCACGTATGAGAAACTGAGAGAGAGAGAGAGAGAGAGGGAGAGAGAGAGAGACTAGAACCACAAAATAGACGCATAAAACCTCACTTTCGAACGGGAACTGAAGGAGGAATCGGTAGTAGGGCACCGCCACTCCAACACCTCGATCAAGGAGACTACGACATCTACCATCGTCATCATCCACACCTCGATACGATTTCTTTATCCATCTCTTTGTAATACCAAACCCTAGTGTGGATTCATACGTGTGTTACATTAATCATTCATCCGTTATTGCCATGATCACCAGGATGAGGTTTATTGTCTCTGTGTCTGAGTAAACCCTCTAGTTCTCGATGATATGAAGGAATCCTAGTATGTGTATTACTGAATGCCAATAAGATGCATGATTCTCTTTATAAGTTTGTGCTAACTATTCTTCGTGATGTTGTGTGATGTCGACCTCGCAAATTTTGCCGTAATGAATGTAAAGGATGTTACCATCATTGGGGAGCTAGGAAGAGGGGGTACTGCGGTGACAAAAGTTATCTCCCTGCTTCGCAAACCTTTGGTAAAAGGCATAACCGAGACACCAAATTCTTTTGCCGCATCGACGGGAAGACCCTTAATCATCGTTGCCTTCACTCGACAGGGGAAGGGATGGTGCTGTCGTGCCTGATACAGAGTTGCGACAATATGCATATATCTTTATCTGGCTTCGCCCACACAATAAGCATATAAAAGTGGATAAGTTATCTGAACCCAAAACTGTGCTTTCGCACAAATAAGTAACAAAAATACTAGTTGTGAATCTGGACTCCTTGGGAACACCTTAGCGCTATTGAAGATTTCATCACTTCATTTACTCCCTCGTTCATTATTTGCTTACTTTAATTATTCTCAAAACACTCTTTCAATATTTTTACTTGCACATCACTTTTCTTTGGGCCAAAGATGACTTGCAGGCACTTTGGTAAACCTCTATAAGAGGCAAAAACCATTTCCTATGCTCTTTGTGAAATTGATACTTTTACTTAGAAAAGACTACAACTCAACCATATGCACTTGCGGGACATCAAGTTCTTTCTGGCGTTGATGTCGTGGAGTTAAGAGCCTTTGGTCTTTATTTTATGTTTTGGTTTATTTCGTGTACCAAGTTATTTACCAGGTTCTAATAACCATGGCCAAGCTTGAACATGTGTATCAACTCATCGCAATAAAGAACTTGGGACCACCCTTTAAAGAAATCATCACATCTTTAGGCCTGAGCCCCAATGATGAAACATAGGAAATTAATCCGAGTTTACTCAAACTGTTGCAGAGTAAGCATTTTACAGGTGACAACGCGGAGGATCCGTACCAACATGTGCAAATATTTGATGAGATTTGCAGGAAATTTAAATTACAATAGTGCAGAAATGCTTATTTGCGGGAAATTTTATCTATTTTCTTTGGTTGTTTTAGTAAGTATTGTATATGTTATATGCATGTGGCCTATGTTGTCGCTGCATTTATCATCTTTTTCCGGATCGCTCACTACGAGTTTCATAAGTTTAGGGAGGGGGGGGGGTCGTAACAGTTCAAGGACTACGGGGTGCAAGCCCATAGACCGTGGGGGTTATCAGCAACGTTGCATTGGCCGTTTAGAGCGTTTCCACCTCGACAAACACATCTGATGTGGTTGCGAGCGGACATGTTGTGATTGGTCCGTGAGCTTTTCATCACAGGCGTGCTAAGTTTGAGACCACACCGCAACCCTTTTGAAGTTTTAGCACCAAAGTGCAGCATGCGCTTCAAGTTTGTAACATGCGCGCAACCTCCATTCCAAAATATAAGACGTTTTGTTAGCTAAACTATACTACCAAAACATTTTATATTTTGAAATGGAGGTAGTATTTTTTTAGTGTTAGGCGATTTTGGGAGATAACGTGGAATTGTTCGGAATAGAATGACACCGAATTAGATGGGCTTCCGGCCCGAAAGCCCTATTCTACTCATGAGCTCAAATGACCTCAGGGTGAACAGTAAATTCGAAAAAAATAAAAAAATATTATAAAAGTTTGATTTTTTTTGTGTGGAAAACATTGACAAATTTTCTGGATGCTTGCAAAATTTCAATCATGTAAGAACATTTCTGCAAGCTGTGGCAAAAATAAGCGGTACATGTACTGTTCTCCATTTAGAAATCAACATTTTATCATTTTTGTGTAGCTTACATGGTTACTTATTTCATCACCAAACTTTATACAGTGTACTAAACATCCATATTTAAAAAAACAAAAAAAACATTTTTTTCAAAAACTTTTAAACGTGATTTTTGAACTATTTAAAATAAAGTGCTCCCATGCACCCGTGCTTCGAAAAAATCGCACTCGTACTTCACGAATTTAGCCACACCTACCGTCGAACGTCAGACCGGAACGGCGGAGCCACCCAACAACAGCGACCGCGGTGACCGGAAAACGACCGGAGCAACGAGGGAGCCGAGCGTATGTGGCACACGGCGCGCCGGGACGGGTCCACCTCCCAACCCCCGACGCCGGCGAGCCACACGCCCGCGCGCACGGTGCCCCAGCACCAATCCGCGCAATCCCGCGCGCACGATGCTGCAGATCACCGAATCCCGGCGTCGCACCGGCTCCACACACCCCGGATCGAGCGCCTCTTCCACACACGCGCGCGCCCAACCACCACCCCACTCGTGAACTGTGCCCGCCCCCGCCCCGCGCGCCATGGCCACACCCGTCTGATGCCACCACCCCTCCCGCCATGCTGCCCTTCTGCTCCTCCGCCGCGCCCACCCCATGCTCCCCGCTCTGCCCGGTGACCGCCGGCGCGCGGGCGCTGCGGAGGGTCGAGGCCGGCGCGCTCAGGCCCTTCGCCGCCGACCCGCTCGTCGCGCAGGCGGTGCCTGACCGCCCGCTCTTCTCCGACTCCGCCATCGTCTCCCCCTACGCCACCGCGCCGGACGACATCGTGCGGGGGTTCGCCTCCGCCGCCGAGCTGCCCGACCCCCTCTGGCGCGCTGGGGTTGACCCGCCGCTGATGCCCGTCGACCTGGCCGCGGACGCTGTGGTCGGCGCGGTCACCGACGATGCCGCGCAGCAGGCCCTGATGGACGCGGAGATGCCCACCACGTTCCCGGCCGACGCCACCGGCGTCGAGGAGTCCGTGGCCAGGTTCATCGACAAGCTCAGCAAGCAGATATTCCAGGCGGAGGACGCGCTCACCGAAGGCTACGACAAGCTCAGGCTGTCGGCGTACGACGCTCTCGGGGCCTACAGGAAGGCGATAAGGGGCGTCGCTGGTGGCATCACCTCCTCGGTGGCTGCCACCAAGAAGCAGGCCGCCGGTGGGGTCCCGGACGTTCCCGGTGCATTTGAAGATAAGGTGGCCGGAGCTGGCGCCGTGGCGGCTGATGTTCTTAGGAAGGCAATTGTTGTTGCAGAGGATTCACTGGGCAGTGCAACCACGTCCCTCGTATACTACTATGGCTCGGCCAAGTCGTCGTTGCCACCAAATGTCAAAGATTTGCTGAACTCATCCGAGGAGAAAGCTAGCATAGTATTGCGACCAATTGGAAGTGCCCTTCAACAGGTATATTTGTAGCAATAGTCTCCCTTTAAGACACTCCTAGCAGTAAATCTGTAAACTGTTGAGCCAATTGTTGATGAGGCCACTGAAAATATTCTGTAAATTGTTGATTCAGGTATACATTATCATCGAAGGCATCGGAAAGAATGTTGGTTTGAACCCAAGTGACCCAATTGTTCAATTAGCAGTTTTGCTTGGAGGTTCAACAACAATAGGGTAAAGGGAAATTTCATTTCTTTTGTACTGGTACATTTCCTGCATTTGGTTTTGTGAAGTCCTGAATTTTGTAACATTGTAGGATATCTTACTGGCTCTTCGCATATGGTGGTTATTCTGGAGACTTGTCACCTGAATCGACATTGGAGTTATTGAAAAGTGATGGCAAAGCCGTACTTGTTGATGTTCGGCCTGAGGCAAGAGATTGTAAATCTCATTAGCCTTTTCTTCCGTTCATGTCCTTTTTTCATCTAAGATATCTCTCGAATCTGGTTCATGATATTTCTGCAAATTGTCCAAATGTAAGATTAATTATGAATATTTTAGCAAATGGATGTGTCATTCCTTGATTGCTTCTTAGAAACACTTTACTATCAAGTTCTTCACTCATGTCCTACCTTTGTGAACATAAACATTTTTAGTGAAGCATCCATAGGTACTGGAGGTCTGCATGGCTTTGTTGTGTCCTTTGTGGAGCACATGTAACTGAACAATTAGATGTACCTTAACACAACTGTTTGATATATCAGTTATTTTTAACAACTATAGCAGCTTCTCATCAAATTATGTTCTGTAGGACTTGAGGGTGAAAGATGGAATTCCTGACCTACGCCGTGCAGCTAGATCTAAATATGCAAGTGTTGCTTCGCCTGAGGTATGTCTGGTGTGAACTGAAGATCTAGAGTGCTACTTGTTCCTCTCCTAATTCTAGAAGCTCTATTTTTGGTGAATTATATCTATTCAAGCACCCACTAATTTCTGGACAATTTCTCTAACTCCCCTGAATTCAGCTCCAAAATTTGTACGTCTATCCGTAAAGATTAAAGCTGTTTCATGTAACGAAAAGTCCTTTTTTGTCCTGATAGTATTAAGATTTGTGTTTGTTAATTTTTAAAGAATATGAAATTACTCTTATGATCTATTAGCCACTTTGTCTTAAGGTTTTTAAAATGGTGAAATTACAAAATATATTTCTTTATTGATAATTAATACATTTGTTTTGAAATTCAGATCAAAGGTCCAACAAAGAAGCTACTTAAAGGTGGAAATGAAGTTGATGATGCTTTGGTTGCAGTTGTAATCCGCAACCTGAAGTTGGTTAAGGTACTTACTCTGTTTGACTGAGGCTTGTATTTGATATTTATACTCTATCGTTTCTTCACAAGAAATAATATTCTATATGTACTGTGTTTTTCACCTGCTTTTGTAGGGTGATTCAAAGGTCATCATTATGGATGCTAATGGAACCCGATCAAAGTCCATTGCTAGGCTACTGAAGAAGCTTGGTGTGCAGGCAAGTTTTGGATATATTTTTCTTGAGGACAAGTTTTGTATGCTTCTTTCTTCATAGTTCCCTGCATGCACTATTCTTCTGTCTAATATTGAATGTTTCGATGGCAGCAACCTTACCTGGTTAAAGGTGGTTTCCAATCTTGGGCAAAGAATCTTCGTGTGAAAGAACTGAAACCTGAGACTGCATTGACAGTAATAAATGAGGTAATAATTCACACCTGAGAATCATTTGTGCAATTTTCTTCACTTTTTGGCTATCATTTGAATGATTCTTGGGATCTTTTGTGACTGTAGTGGATTCATATTTCGTATATTATTGGTGCATGATATTTAATAAAAGGGTTTGGTGTTTGTCATCACTCTCACATTCCAGCCTTTTATCACTATCAAAGTGTCAAGCACTTGAATCATTGTTCTGAATGTGTGTAGGATGCCGAGGAAATCCTAGAAGGCATAAAGCCCACCCCTACACTTGTCTTTGGATCTCTTCTGGTACATACATGCCACTTCTTCTTTTATGGGTGTCTGCAGCAGCTGATGGCATGCTTCTTTCTTGCTAATTTTGATTTCTTTTGCACAGGGCCTCTCAGCAGTGACTTATGCTTTGCTAGGTAAGTAGAGTATGGAGATAGCATGTATGGTTTTTAAAATGGGTCCTCCTGACACCAAGGGGTATCAGATAGTCATGTGTTTTGCTACAAAGGGCAAGGGCTGTGACACTCGATTCAAAGGACAAATAGTTCATGTACAAAGTACGAGGGAATGGTCTTTAGGATATATACACATAAGAGGAAACTTTCTTTTGCATAGCAAAAATTGATGCAATTCGAGCCTTGGCGCAGTGGTAAAGCTGCTGCCTTGTGACCATGAGGTCACGGGTTCAAGTCCTGGAAACAGCCTCTTGCAGAAATGTAGGGAAAGGCTGCGTACAATAGACCCAAAGTGGTCGGACCCTTCCCCAGACCCTGCGCAAGCGGGAGCTACATGCACTGGGGCTGCCCCAAGTATGGCATTTTAGTAAAATTAAGAAGGTATTGCTTGGTGGAATGTTTGCAGTTAAACAGTTTTGAAAACCGCTTCTCCATTACCTGGTATATACTGTCCTTCTGTTAGGCATCGACCTAAACCACTTCCCATTGTTTGATTTATTTGCCATTTCACTTAAATGTGCATCATTGGCCTTTTTGGCCTAATGCCCACAGATATTTTTTATTGGGCTTCTAAATTTTAGTTAGGTGAAACCTGTAAACTGCAAGCACTTCAAACTACTTTCTGATGAATTGACTATGGATGAACCTGATTGTAGAATGGGAGACGACTTTGCAGTACATCGGTGTTCTTAGTCTTGGGTTGGTAAGTACTCTCCATTTTTAAATGTTTTGCACATAGCATATTCATTGTTCAGTATGTATGTGCATCATGATTGGATACAAGCAATGTAAGTTTGTGCAATTTTCTACTACCGTCAACTACAAAAAGTTAAAATATGTGGCCATTTGTCAAGTGTCAACGACAATGTTTATGCCCTGCCACCTGATATTTTTCTACTGTCATAGACAATCTACCTGCGGTTCTCTACGTACGAGGGTTCGGAGGATTTTCTGCAAGACCTAAAGTAAGTTCCCCTGGCTTGTGACATTTGTGTTCTGTGGTGCGCTTTCATTCCATCATTTTGTAGTTCAGGTGTTTTAAGCTTGCCACTGCTCAAACTTCGAGCACAAATTAGAACCATCACAAATTCTCCCCCTCTCCTTCTCTTTCCGCAGGCTGTTGCTGTCCCCACTAAGAGTGGGCGCGGAAGCGTTCTCGTGGGCAGCTAAGAAGCTAGAGCCGAACAAGATTGGCCTGGCGACGTCCCCCTCCACGACGGCGGTGCAGGACCGAGTTCTCAAAGCGGCAGCGAAGCACGAATCGAAGCCGTCTGATGCGGAGGAGTCCACCAAGACAGACAGTTTTGCCTCCGAAGCATGAGAAGCTCCCTGTGAGCGTGTGAACTGGATCCGTAGCCACTTCGCCGTCAGTCTGGTGAATTGATGTTTTTGATGTTAATAATGGTACCATGAGCCGCCGTGACGACGACCGGCATTGTAAATTTATAAGCAGCAGTTTATATTACACTTGTTAGCAGAAGTCTTCAGTCATTGGTCCAGTCTCATTGCCTCTCGCTAAAATAGAGAAATGCTAGCACAACTTCACTTGACGTTTTTGTACATGCCACACCATGCACAAAACACTCACATATTTGCATGCATAAAGGTTTCTCTGAGAGGTGGGGCAAGCAGATTCATTCTGCGGTTAAGAATGGCACTATGTGTGTCATACTTAATGGCCCGTATTTTGTCAGCTTCAAGTGGGGTGAGTCAGGGGACAACATTACCCCCTTTCCTTTCCAATATAGCTGCTGGTAGTCTGGCTAGGATGGTGAAGAGTGCTCAAGCCAATATCGGTCATGTTTCAGTATGCAGATGAGACAATCATGCTTGTTCAGGATGAGGTGAAGCGGGAGATTTTTTATTTTTTCGAAACGGAGGCATGACCTTTGCCTCATTCATTAATTAAGAGAGAAATAAAGTGTTCGGTTATAGAAAAGGACGACACATGTCCAAACAAAATACAAAAGGCCATTACTCTCCGGCATTATTTGTGTCAAATGTTTTGCACCTATGGTGGACCGAAGTCTTGCTTCCTTCTTGATGCCCTCAATTAGGATTTTCGGTGGTGCGGACTTGTAACGAGAGACCCTTGCATTTCTTTCATTCCAAATGGTCTAACTTATAAGCATGGCTATTGATGCCATGGCCCTTCTATTCGGAACATTGGCTTCGGACATGTTGATTCGACACTCTTTGGTTGAGTACTCCAAGTGCCAAGTGGTGGTGTCAAGGTTCACAAGTTGTAGTCATTACAAATCACCTCCAAGTTTATGCGTGGCCTTCTAGGCGATGAGGGCATCAGGAGTTTCACTGAGGCTGCTGTGTGGGCCTTTCTCTTGTGCCATGCTTTTTTGTAGGCGCTTTTTTTTTTCTGCTTTAGATTTTTGTTTTTTTGAGGATTCTTTTTCGGGTGAAGACTAACTTTCAAAAGAGCAATTCATTGTTAATACAATTATCCGAGCTTAGTTTTATTCTAATATGTTGAACTGTCAAATTGGTCATTGGCCTTTGAAGTACTTAAATATGTTCAACTGTCAAATTGGTCGTTGGCCTTTGAAGTACTTAAAACTTTTCTGTGTGTGACTACTCATGTTGTTGACTAGGCCAGTTTGGTGGAGAAGGTACATAAAAGGATGGAGTGCCTCTGTGTATTTTAGAGGTAGACTCGCCCTGGTAAATTCTTGCCTGGCTAGCTCTTGTCAATATCACGTGTCAATGTCAATGTATTCGTTACCTGTCATTGAGAAGTTTGACCAAGTCAGAATATCTTTCGTTCGTAACGTGGACAATAAAAAAAATCATATGATCGGATGGCGAACTTCTAATGGTGAATTATCTGTACAACCAAGAAGAAAGGAGGTTTGGGTGTCAAGAATCTCATGGGTTTGAATGTGAGCTTATTATGTAAGTGGTGTTGAAAATTAGAAGCAGAATAGAGGGTTTGGCAACAAATTCTCTCTCTGGGTTGTTTTAGACATGTTAGGCATAAAAGCACATAGTCCCCTATTTGGAGAAACTTGCTGCAAATGAGGGACATGTACCTTGCGGTGACAAAACCCTAGAAGTGCAATATTAATTATATCTAATATGTACTAAAAAGGAGGCAACTATTTTATCGAATGAAAGAGATAAACGGACAACTTTGTTTTGAGGAGGTCGTTGAATGAAGGTCTTCAGGTACCACGTATATAATTATAGAGCTTATCCTATATCTTCTATCTTCTATATCTAAATAGTTAGCCTCCACTAACTATTTCTCTCAACATGTAAGCATGCCACATCATCTCATATCATGCATGAGAAAAGGCCCACCTTCACTATCATATGTCTTCCAACATGCAAGCATGTCACTTCATCATTAAACATGCATGAAAAAAAGACTCATCCCAACATGCAAACATCCAAGAGAATTTTCATTCTACTATGCTATTTAGATTTAATAAAAAAATTACAATTATATAGTAATCAAACATAATAAATTATATGTATTTTCAGTTTTAGCTTTTTATATTATTACTTCAGTTATTCATTATTCATACAACGAATCACATTGAAATATGTTGCAAAATATTCTTGCAACAACGTGCGGGGTATCATCTAGTGTACCTAAATAGTCGATCCCCACTAACTTAATTATCTCAACATGCAATTATGCCAACTCATCATGCCACCATGCATGCATCACTAACGTTAATTTCGTAAACATGCTACTATGCATGCCACCATGTATGAAAAAGACTCACATTAACATGCACCGCGCATGCTACTCATATTCATTAAATGTTCTACAACTATATGATAATCAAATATAAGTATACAATATGTATTTTAGTTTCATTTTCCATTTTGCTAATTCGAATACTAAACTTTCATGCTGCCAAATCTCAAAAAATATCTGCATTCGATTAACGTAGCAACATGCGGGGTATCATCTCTATATTTATAGTTGTGCTTTATATTTTGAATATCATGTGCAAAAGAGATGCTACTAGTGTTATGAACCCCGATCTCCCCACATAAGAAACCACTTTAATATTACTTTCTATACACCTTTATTTTAAGCCATTAATTATTTGAAAAACATAACCATCTATGAGTAATGATACGTCTCCGTCGTATCTACTTTTCCAAACACTTTTGCCCTTATTTTGGACTCTAACTTGTATGATTTGAATGGAACTAACCCGGACTAACGCTGTTTTCAGCAGAATTGCCATGGTGTTGTTTTATGTGCAGAAAAAAATATTCTCGGAATAACCTGAAACTCCACGGAACATCTTAGAAAAAAAATCCTCGCCAAAGATGAAGACCAGGGGGCCCACACCCATCTCACGAGGGTGGGGGACGCCCCCCCTAGGGTGCGCCCCCTACCTCGTGGGCCCCCTGGATGCCCTCCGACGCCAGCTCCAACTCTATATATTTGCTTTCAGAGAGAAAAAACATAAGAGAGACGAAATCATCGCGTTTTACGATACGGAGCCGCCGCCAAGCCCTAAAACCTCCCGGGAGGGCTGATCTGGAGTCCGTTCGGGGCTCCGGAGAGGGGGATTCATTGCCGTCGTCATCATCAACCATCCTCCATCACCAATTTCATGATGCTCACCGCCGTGCGTGAGTAATTCCATCATAGGCTTGTTGGACGGTGATGGGTTGGATGAGATTTATCATGTAATCGAGTTAGTTTTGTTAGGGTTTGATCCCTAGTATCCATTATGTTCTGAGATTGATGTTGCTATGACTTTGCTATACTTAATGCTTGTCACTAAGTCTCGAGTGCCATGATTTCAGATCTGAACCTATTATGTTTTCATGAATATATGTGAGTTCTTGATCCTATCTTGCAAGTCTATAGTCACCTACTATGTGCTATGATCTGGCAACCCCGAAGTGACAATAATCGGGACCACTCCCGATGATGAGCATAGTTTGAGGAGTTCATGTATTCATTATGTGCTAATGCTTTGTTCCGATTCTCTATTAAAAGGAGGCCTTAATATCCCTTAGTTTCCAATAGGACCCCACTGCCACGGGAGGGTAGGACAAAAGATGGCATGCAAGTTCTTTTCCATAAGCACGTAGGACTATATACGGAATACATGCCTACATTACATTGATGAATTGGAGCTAGTTCTGTGTCACCCTATGTTATGACTGTTACATGACGAACCGCATCCGGCATAATTATCCATCACTGATCCGGTGCCTACGAGTTTTCCATATACTGGTTCTCGCTTATTTACTTTCCCGCTGCTACTGTTACAATCACTACAAAATACCAAAAACATTACTTCTATTGTCTTTACTTTTGTTGCCGCTACCACCACTATCATATTATTTTGCTACTAAACACTTTGCTGCAGATACTAAGTTTCCAGGTGTGGTTGAATTGACAACTCGGCTGCTAATACTTGAGAATATTCTTTGGCTCCCCTTGTGTCGAATCAATAAATTTGGGTTGAATACTCTACCCTCGAAAGCTGTTGCGAACCCCTATACTTGTGGGTTATCAAGACAAATTTCTGGCGCCGTTGCCGGGGAGCATAGCTCTATTCTTTGAGTCACTTGGGATTTATTCTGCTGGACACTATGAAGAACTTGAGAGATCCAAAAACCAAGACCTATCCCTCAACTACGAGGGGAGGTAAGTGATACGTCTCCAATGTATCTATAATTTTTGATTGCTCCATGCTATATTATCTACTGTTTTGGGCAATATTGGGCTTTATTTTCCACTTTTATATTATTTTTGGGACTAACCTATTAACCGGAGGCCCAACCCAGATTTGCTGTTTTATGCCTATTTCAGTGTTTCGAAGAAAAGGAATATCAAACGGAGTCGAAACAGAATGAAATCAACTGGAGAAGTTATTTTTGGAACGAAAGCCACCGGATAGACTTGGACTCCACGTCAGGAGATACGGGAGGTGCTCACGAGGGTGGGGGGCGCGCCCCCTGCCTCGTGGGGCCCCCGTGGCTCCTCCGACGTACTTCCTGCACCCATATATATCGTCGTACCCTAAAACTTCCAGAACACAATAGATCGGGAGTTCCGCCGCCAGAAGCCTCCATAGCCACCAAAAACCAATCTAGACCCGTTCCGACACCCTGCCGAAGGGGGCAATCCTTCTCCGGTGGCCATCTTCATCATCCCGGTGCTCTCCATGATGAGGAGGGAGCAGTTCTCCCTCGGGGCTGAGGGTATGTACCAGTAGCTATGTGTTTGATCTCTCTCTCTCTCTCGTGTTCTTGATTTGGCACGATCTTGATGTATTGCGAGCTTTGCTATTATAGTTGGATCTTATGTTTCTCCTCCCCCTC